CGGCCTTCAACCCCATAACACATCCAATGGCATCCAGTTGAGAAACCGTTGTACTCTCATGAAGGGGTTTCTGTGCTGAGTCCAACATTTCGTAGAAGGCCTTAGCGGCTTCCTCCATCTCCTCCTTCTCACGTCCTTCTGCGAAGTGAGCTTGGTGAGTGTCATCTAGCATGTCTGCTACTCCGGCATCATCATCAAAAGCCTCGAGGCGTGGTCTCACCACCTCCGCTCTTATACGATCTGCTTCACCATGGTGGATCCACCGGTGGTAGCCAGCCGTATAACCATTGTACACAAGATGTTTACCCATGGTCACCTTATCTACCCTTCTATTGTTGTCACATTTGCTACAGGGACACCAAAGTTTAGAATGTCCTTTAGCTACACCCGAGCTCCATGCATGTTCCAAGAAAGCATCTGTCCCATTCACCCACTCAATGTCAAAGTCACTCCTGCTTCTCTGGCCCGTGTACATCCACTAACGGTCTTCCATCCTTCCACATATACAACACATAGTAATGTAACCATCAATTGTATCTACGCGGTGTTCCTACTCTCTAATAGGTGAGGATAGGTCCTAATCCCACCCACGGATGCGTAGATGAGGTTAGTTTCCATGCTCCGCTCCCTATCCGAGACAGAATTTCAGCAGCACCTCCCCGCCGTTCTCTCGATACACGTCCTGCAAGGGAGAGTGTGTATCCAGAGAACAATAAGGAGGTGATGCCGAAAGTCTACCTCGGACCGGAGCAGACCATGGAAACTAACCTCATCTACGCATCCGCTGGCTGTCCAAAAATGTGGATAATCCAATGAGATACTGGTCGTAGATATGCAAAGATCCGCATACCTCCGATCAGTATCTGCTTTGAATGGAGACACCTAATCGGGTTACGTGACCTCGACCATGATACTGATAGAGGGGTTATACCTAAGGTGCCGGTGAGGTCGGGCTAAGAAGCGGGCGGTGTCGAGTCGGTGCAGTGGCGAGGCGACGCGCGCAAAGTGCACCACTCATAACGCCCACGAAGACGATCGGGGTCCTCTCGTCCCTCCGGCGGATCCTCTGCAATATAAAAAGGCAACAGTGTTAGTATTTGTTAAAATATATTGGCACCTCCTCCCGCACGGTGAGGTTTCCATAACCTACAAAAAGAACGGCCGACGAAGGCCGACATTCACAACAACCACGAAGGCCGACAACGACAACGCACGAAGGCCCTCATATCGACATACATACAAAGACGAAGGCCCACACAACCACATACGACCGACACGAAGGCCAATTACGAGAGTTTTACCTAGTGTTGCGGTGGAGTCAGGCGTCATGGTCACGAGGTTCGATTTCTTCTCTCGGCCGAGGTCGAGGGCGCCGGAGTACTCCTCTCCCCTTCCCTTCTCTCTCTTCTCTTCTCTCCTCCTCCTCCTCCTCCTCCTCTTCTCCTTCCTCCTCTCCTTTTCCTCTTCTTCTCCTTCTCTTCCCTCCTCCTTCTCCTCTTTTCCTTCTCTTCTTCCTCCCAATTCACCTCTGCCTCCTCCCTCCAACACAGTGGGCGACCAAGCCGAAATGAGGGTCGGCCTCGGGTGGCCGGGGGACAGGCCACGGCCAGGGGCCACCAGGGGCTGCAAGGCAGGGGGCCAAAGACGGGAGGAGGGCCACGAGAGGGGGGCCGGTAAGGAGGGCAGGCTTCAGCCATGGAGGAGGGTCAGGGGGCAAGGCTGGGGGTGGCCAAGGGGGCATGGGAGGAGACGGCCATGGTGGTCATGGAGGAGGAGGTGGCAAGGGGCGGGCCAGGTGGGAGCCGAGGGGGCAGGCGGGAGGCGTGGCATGGCGAGGGGAGGTGGGTGAGCTGGCGGGTGCGAATCGAGAGCCACGCGGCCTCCAGGGATTTTGGGGATATTGGGCCGACCCCGGTATTTTAGGTTTTAGGCCTTTGCCGAGTAACCCTGGCCCAGCACTCGGCAAAGACAGTCTTTGCCGAGTGCCATCTGGCACTCGGCACATTTTCATTTTTTTTTGTTTTTTTGACCCCAAATTTTTTTGTTGGGCCCACCTACATTGTTTACAACTTCATGTTCAAATTTGGTGCTTTTTCTAGTTTTTTTGTTATATTTGGTTGATTAATTTGATTATGTTGAATTTTTATATATAATTCAAATTTGAACTGCAAGTGCATGGAATATTGTAATCTAGTGCTTCGAAAAATGTTATTCATGGTATTTGGTGTATGTTGAGTCTCTATCCATGAACTCGCATCAAATTTCGCGCATCTTCTTCACGTAACATGACGAGCCACTTGCCGGAAAAGTGTTTTAAAATTATATAAAGTCCATACGAAGTCCGAAAATCACGAAACTTGTCGAGGTGTCATGTTATCGCATGTGTAGGCTGTGGTAAAAAATTGAGAATGTTTCGAGCAAGTTGCGACGTCAGATGCATAAAGCCCAGATGTCTGGGTTTTATGCATCTGACGTTGCAACTTGCTCGAAACATTCTCAATTTTTTACCACAGCCTACACATGCGATAACATGACACCACATGTGGAGATGTCTGGGTTTTATGCATCTGACGTCGCAACTTGCTCGAAACATTCTCAATTTTTTACCACAGCCTACACATGCGATAACATGACACCTCGACAAGTTTCGTGATTTTTGGACTTCGTATGGACTTTATATAATTTTAAAACACTTTTTCGGCAAGTGGCTCGTCATGTTACGTGAAGAAGATGCGCGAAATTTGATGCGAGTTCGTGGATAGAGACTCAACATACACCAAATACCATGAATAACATTTTTCAAAGCACTAGATTATAATATTCCATGCACTTGCAGTTCAAATTTGAATTATATATAAAAATTCAACATAATCAAATTAATCAACCAAATATAACAAAAAAAACTAGAAAAAGCACCAAATTTGAACATGAAGTTGTAAACAATGTAGGCGGGCCCAACAAAAAATTTAGGGTAAAAAAAAACAAAAAAAATTGAAAAATTTTGCCAAGTGCCAGCTTGGCACTCGACAAAGACCGTCTTTGCCGAGTGCTGGGCCAGGGGCACTCGGCAAAGAATTTTTTAAAAGAAAATTTTCAAAAACGGTTAAAAAGTCTTTGCCGAGGGCCTAACGGTGATGCCCTCGGCAAAGATTGATGGCAGGGGATGGACGTCGTGTCAGGCGGTGTTGCCGAGGGCTTAGCCCTCGGCAAAGAATTATTGTTGCCGTGTGCTTGTCTTTGCCGAGGGTCTGGCCCTCGGCAAAGAGTCTTTGCCGAGGGCTGTTCTTTGCCGAGGGCCAGACTCTTTGCCGAGTGCCCGAGCATTTTCTCTCGGCAAATCCTGAGGCCCTCGGCAAAGATGCTCTGTCCGGTAGTGATGTATGCACCTACCCACCTAACGACACAGATCTGAACACAGGCAAATTATTGCAAATACGACCGACGCAACTGACTCGATCTCCAGCTTTTGTGTGTGGCGTCTCATGCGAAGTGGCATATGTCACGTACGTAGTAGCTAGAATGCGGCCGGCCGAGCCCTACCTACCTTCGCATGCAACACCACGTCCGTGACACATGCGACGACGATGCTTTTTGCATGCATGCATGTTCGTCGGCGCCGGTGCTCGCAGGGCACGTACGTCTCCAGCGAGCGTGTAGTAGCACGGGATATTGCTATTGGTTCGACACGTCCAAACGACAGCGCCTCCAGCTTGCACTGGCCCAGTCGTCCACACTCCGTATATAGCAGAGGCTGCAGAGCGCGCGGCGTGACAGCGACAGGCTGACTGACAAGTCGCGCGTCGTACCGTACGTCTGGCCCCGGCGGGAGCCCGTATTAGCACAGCGCCTCAGCTGGGAACACGTCGTATAGAGGCGTGGGGTTCGATCCCGACCAATTGAGCTGCATGCCTTCCCCTCAAAAAAAAAAAAAAAAGAGCTGCATGCCCTGGTGCCGCGAAGGCACAAGAATGAACCTTGGGATGGGGTATTTGGGGTCTGATCTCGCTCAATCGTTCACTGCAGCGTTGATCATAGACATAAAAATACATTATTCTGATCTTAGCAAAGGATCAGTAAGATATATGGAATAATGTGCCAGAAATGTGTGTGGTAGTTTTCTCATCGGAAATAAATTTTGGGACATGGCTGCAGATCATTTGCTAAGCTCACCTGGAACTACTCTAGTTGTCTGCACTAAGACGCGCTCGCCGCCCCCGCTTCAGACAGTGAAGCACATGTGCAGAGGATCTGGTGATGCGAGAGAAGCACAAGGATAATGATTGGGCAGAACTTCACTTGGACTCTAGCCAGAAAAAGTGCACTGTGAACGATAATTTCTTGATACGACATCAGAGTTATTTCTCAATTGTGAGTGCCCTGAACCGTCAGGAACTCAGGATATCTATCGACACTCTTAGAGCAGGTATAATAACGTATGTGAGCCGGCGAGATGAACTCCATGTCATCAAAAATCTTGCCACGCTAGGAGAGAGAAGGTTGAGCGGGCGCTTACCTTGCCGCCGGCTGAAACACAGAGTACGAGAGGAAAAAACAGTCTTGCAGCAGGATGCAGGCTGGGAGCTAGCTGGGAGTCACCGTTTTGTTCTTCTTGCAGCCGGATGCAGGCGGGGAGCAAGCTGAATTATTAAACTTGCTCTTAAAGAACAGAGGTGGCATGCAATTATTCTAGTGTAGTAAGTAATGCTGTCCTAAGTCACTGCCATATCCGAAATTTACACAGTTTAAGCAACATGGAAGTGTGAAACATATCCAAGACAGGTACAACTTTTCTAAAACACCAACAACATTTTTCATAAAATAATGGACGTGGCAGTACAAATGATGGGATGATCTAGATGTGACAGCAACACACGTGCAATGCAAATAGACAACAACCACAACAACACCAAGACACACTAGTGTACACGCATCATGAATACAATAACAAATAGCCAAAATGCCACCAAGGCATTCTGTCTCCTACTGCATGCCGATGTGGCTCAGTCATGCAGAGTAGCGTACGTCACGTAGCTGGAGTAGTCCCTGACCTTCCTCTCCCCTGGCGCTGCGGCGGGGCATGTCACCTGGGTGGTGCTCACCGCCGGGCACGTCTTTGGCTGGCTCTGGAACGCCGCGCACTCCGCCGGGCGCCTCTGGTTGGCGAGGCCCGGAATGCAGTTGTTCTTCACGTCCAGCACGCCGTCTTTGATCAGCGTCGCGCAGGCCGGCCCGACGGAGGTGAAGTAGTTGCCGGACAGTGCGAGATTGGCGAGGCGGCCGGCAGGACCGGCAAGCTTGCACACCGCGTCGGGCACCTGGCCGTAGAGATGGTTCTCGGCAAGGTTCAGCTGCTCGACGCTGCTGAGGCACGAGAAGGATGCAGGGATCGGGCCGGTGAGCTGGTTCATGCCGGCATCGATAACGGCAGCCTTGTGGAGCATGCCGAGTTCGTGCGGGAGGCAGCCGGAGAGCTGGTTGTTCAGGAGGAGCACCTCGAGGAGGGAGTCTTGCAAGTGGCCGATTGATGGAGGTATTTGGCCACTCAGCTTGTTGTTGGCGAGGGCGAGGTAGCTCACCTTGGAGAAGCCAAGGTCAACTGGAAGTGGTCCGGACAGGTTGTTGTTGTTAAGAAGGAGAGCCTTAGCATCCGTAACACCAGGAATAATATTGCCTCCATTACCACCGCGCTTAATACCGATATTAATAGAAAAATCAAAGTTAGCAGTCACGCAATGTCCCAGTTGTACATTTCCTTTCCCACTGAGAGTGGCTTTCTGCCCCAAATAATCTTGGGTCTCTAGTGGGGGATCGGTGCTCACGCTGAGCTTGTACCTGTACTCAAGACCGTCGAGTCGGGGGATATCGCCACCAAAATTGTTGGAAGCAGCATGGAAAAGCGCAAGGTCTGGGAGCTGATCCACGAAACCTTGCAGTGTCGGTGCATGTAGACTGTAGCCATTGAGAATGACTCCTGTGACGGCCAATTTCTTATCTTCCCCTGTCGGCGATCCGCAATAGAACCCCATGTAGGTCGTCTCTCCGCAGAGATCATGACCGGTCCATGTGGCGGTGACATTCTTGGGGTCGCTAGTGATGGTGCTCTTGAAGCGCTGGATGACGAGGTAGGCGTGGTAGAGTTGCTCATTTGGGAAATCCTGTGGCTGTGGCTGTGGCTGTGCGTGATGAGATGACTCAGAGCGAGCAGGGTATGCTACTGTTGCAACAATAGAACAGAGCAGTAGGACAAATAAGGGTGATTTAAGGTGGTTATCCATGCATGCCAATCTCAGTAGTGTTGAGAGAATGAAAGTTGGTCGTGTTCTATGTAAGGGCATCGGAGCTCGGGAGTGATGTGAAGCGCTTGCCGTTGCTGTCTATATATAGGCCAGAAGCATATTTCCATACTTTCATTCTACGGCAAAATATGTAGTACTAGTAAAAACCAATATGTATGTATCTATATCTAATATTAAATAAGCAAAATTTCTCTCCACTCATTTTTTTTATCCGGCCCTCACTACTGGAAACAGGGCCTTTGCCGAGTGCAAACTGCTTTGCCGAGTGTCAAAAATCGACACTCTCAATGAGAATTTTTACTGAAAGTGCCGGGCACTCGGCAAAAAGGGCACTCTCGACAGGGACTTCTTTCTTGCCGAAAGTGCCGTGCTCTCGCAAAAGCGCGCGCACTTTCGGCATAGGTCGCCTGCAACGGTAAGCGGTGTTGACCGTCGTCCTTCTTTCTTGCCGAGTGCTGCCGTTAGGCACTTTCGACAAAGATTTTTTTAGAAAATACTTTGCCGAGTGCCCTTGACACTCTGCCGCTTCGGCAAAGATTCAATTTTTTTTTTGAAATGTCTTTGCCGAAAGTGCCCAACAAATTTCGAAGACTCGACAAAGGAAGCACTTTCGGCAGAGAAAATTCTAAAAAAATTCAAAAACCTTTTTGTTGAAGCGCCTTATTCTTGGCACTCGGCAAAAGACCCTTTGTCGAAAGTGCCATGCCCTACGGCCTTCGGCAAAGTTTTTTTTTGCCTCAAATTTTTTGCGTAGCCCTTTTAAAATTTTTTGAACTCCTCGTTAAATTTGAAGATTTTTGTGGCTTTTATATATTTGAGTTACTTTATTTCGTCTACTTGATTTTTTTGAAAAATATAAATTTGAATGTCCTGCGATAGTAAGCGAATAATCGAAATGTAATGAAATCTTCAAAATTTTATCATAGCTCCACATACGTATATCACTACCATGTCAACAAGTTTCACCCGATTTTCGGACTTCGCTTGTCCACGATAGAATTTAAAACACTTCGTGACGCAAGTGTTTTAAATTCTTTCGTGAACAAGATGTCCCAAACTTTTGAGATCTTGTGATATATGTGGAGGCTATGATACTACACTTGAAAGATTTATATGACTATCATTTTTGAATCATTAAATTCAATTATTCGCATCAATTATTCACGGCAGCTTCAAATTTATATTTTTCGAAAAAATTCAAGTAAACGAAATAAAGTAACTAAATATATCAAAGAGCCACAAAAAATCCACAAATTCTACAGAGGAGTTCCTGATACTTTAAAAAGGCTGCACAAAAAATTTAGAGGAGAAAAACAAAAAAAAAACTTTATTGAGCGTCGGGGCATGACGCCGAGTGCCAGATCTGGCACACTCGGCAAACCGCCACTCATATACCCCCACATCAAGCCGCACACAGCCACACACGCGCACACCCACCCGCGCCGCACACGCACACAGGCACACCCGTCCCGGCCGCCGCCGGCGCCCCCTGCCCCCGGCCGCCAAAACTGAAGTGGCTTGTAATCCGACATCTTGAGCTAATCCCAGGATCAAATTTGTGCACCGCTTGTTCCCCTCTCCAAAACTGAAGTTTTTATTTTTGTGTGATTTTCAGAGGTATTTTTAGTGATTTTTGGTTCGTCGAATTTGGCTCTGATTGGGGTGAAACTTCTTGAGGGATTTTGGTGCTAGGACATGTGTGATCAAGGCTAGGGTGATCCCCTAACAAATCCTTCACTTGAGCACCACGATTTTGTTTTTGGGGATTTTTCGAGTTCTCGCACGTGATCTGGATTTTCTGGAGTTTGAGCACGATTTGAGCGATGATTTCTTGGGAATAGCTTACCTACTCTGTGGTGATTGCCTGTGCAAAGTTTGGGGACGAATCCTTTTGTTTTGGTCGAGTTCCCGTCGAATTTTTGGCGCTCGCCCGTGTCTGTTTCTTGCGCTCGGTCCCAGTTCGTAATTCTCAGGTGCAGTTCGCAGGCGCTGGTGCCTTCACCGGTCAAAACCTGTGTATGCTCGTGCAGACCCGAGCCTGCTCCCTCTCTCTGTTTGCAGTTCGGCGCGGCAGTGTCCAGTCCTCGCCGAAGCTCACTCGCCTCTGGTTGGCCGTGCTCAGCTTCCAGGCACCAATCTCATCCAGAACCCGTGCACGCACAGCACCAAGAGCAGGAGCAGCAGTTCACATTAATTGGATTTTCAGCAGCAGTAGGCTTTTGCTAATTCCATTTTCAATCGGCAACTTGGCTGGCTTCTTTCTTTTGCCACAGGGTGCAGGTTTGCAATGCTTTGGATTCAGAGCAGCAGCTGGACATGGATTCAGTGCTTGTGCAATATAAGCACCTTGCTGTGAATTCATCAGTTTGAGCAGGTAAGCAACAAGTTTCAGTTCTCAAACTGTCAATTGTTACTTTTGTGCTTCACCGACCAATCATCCAGTAATTGTGACATGTTTGCCTGCAGCTCTAATTAATTATTCTAGTGCTCGGTTCATACATGCTTGGAATTAAATACTTGTTTAATCCTTCCTAGCTTTGAAATAGGATGCATGTGTGTCGGCAGTAGAACTGCTTCTGTACCTTGCTAGTTCTCTAGATCGATTCTCTGTTTTGAAGTATTTCTTTGTACTGAACTTAGCATATCTACACTGTCATCTATTTAACCTTGCACATAATCGAAAGGACATGGATTACAGTACATTTGAACTATTTAATTGTAATTTATGCAACCTCTGGACTGTTTAATTGGGCGTGATGATGTTGGTGTAATTTACATTTTTGTATATCTGCTCCTAGACATTCACTAATTTGCTGTTTAATTGCAGCAGTATTGTAGTATTAGGTGAGTGTGTTTAAGGATGAGTTACCTTTTGCTGCACTTTATAACCAGAAATGAAATGGTTGTAGTAGGTGAGTGTGGCTAATGATTTATGCTCTCTGAACTATACCTTTTCTTTCAGTTCCACACATTTTATTCACACTCTCATGGTATTACAATTAAACTGAAATGATTTGTGCTCTCTGAACTATGTGTCTTACCATATAAAGATTATGTGTTATGTTTGTGAGGACTCTGGGCAGTCCAGACTTCAGTACATGTTCCAGCACAGGACGTCGGTGTCGCAGGCCGAGTGGAGCATGGCGTCCAACGAGTCGCTCTTCAGCATCCAGGGCGCCAGCAACCTGTACCCTGGCAGCAAGTCGCACTTCGACTTCTACTACTACGAGGCCATGGCGGAGGCGGCGGACTCCAAGCTACCGTCCCAATGTACTGCACTGCACCGTGATGCCCGTTCTTGATCTTGTCTTGTCAGCAACGACCATGCAAATTAAGCAATCACCTGCATGCAGACTGGTGGAGACGTCACCGAGGAAGAAGGACGTCGTCAACAGCGCGCTATACCAGCCGCTGGAGAAGGAGCGCGAGCAGCAGCCGTCGCCACAGCTCGAGCCCGCGTGTCGGCCTTCATGGAGATGACGACGGAGGAGGAGCAGCGGAGGAGCGACACCGGGTGCTGTTGCTGGTTCGATTGCTCTTGGTGCTGTCGGTGCCCGTGGTGGCGATGCGGCTGCTGCTGCAGCTGCTCCTGCCCCAGCTTCTGCCGGTGCAGCTGGTGCCTCTGCTCATGAGAGAAATTGGCATTTGGATCTGATAAACTTGGTGTCAAATGGGAGCTTTAGATGGGTAGGCATCGTCCCTTGAGAGGTTAGATCTCTTTCAGCGCTTCCTGCTTGTGTTTTCGGAGGATTATTTGGCAGACAGGGCTTGCCATGTGCACGTCAGCTGGAACAGTAGTATATACTGAGAAAAAAATATATTTTTTTCTTTGGAAAATAGGTTTGCCGAGTGTAATTTCAAAAAACACTCGCAAACAGTAACAGTATGCTGAGAATTTTTTTTTGTTTGAAAAATAGATTTGCCGAGTGTAATTCCAAAAACACTCGGCAAAGGACCCCGTTGCCGAGTGCCATGGTCACAGCACTCGGCAAAGCTGGAAAAATGGGTGCTCGGAAAACCATTTTTCCAGCTTTGTCGAGTGTCATGACCATGGTACTCGGCAAAGATTTTTTTTAAAAAAAAATTCAAACTTTGCCGAGCGCCGGCCAGGGGCACTCGGCAAAAAAAATTTAGAAAAAAAATAAAACATCTTTGCCACGGGCCGGATAGAGGGCACTCGGCAAAGAATTTTTTTTAAAAAAAATAAAAAATCTTTGTCGAGTGCCTGTAGGGTCGGCACTCGGCAAAGCGACCGTCAACGGGGCCGGCGCCATGACGGTCGCTTTTCTTTGCCGAGTGCCCCCGGGGCTCTCGGCAAAGCCTTTACCGAGTGCCCGATAAAAGACACTCGGCAAAGAGGGCTTTGTTGATCAATTTTTTTACCGTTTGTTCTTTGTCGAGTACAATTTGGCCTTTGCCGAGTGCCGCACTCGACAAAAGCTTTGCCGAGTGCAATTTGGCCAGGCACTCGGCAAGACCTATACCTTGGAGGGGATCGGAGCTGGCGATCAAGCAGTCTGAGGTGGCCTGCACAGCACGGCCGGGGATTGGATCGAACGCGTGCATGCATGCGACCTACAGTACATACTGCATAGCAGCCAATCGACGACGTGATCTTATATAACTAACTAACAACGAGTGCTTTTTCAATCAAATACAAGGTGTTTGTCTACTCTTTTCCGATCCAAATACAAGAGGTTCGTCAACTCTTTTAGATTTATTTTATTGTTTTCTACTTGGATTCTTATTTAGAGTACTAAGAGAAGAGGGATCTATTTAGATTATGATATGATTCCTAAGGAAGATAGTTTCTACATTCACGAGCCGTTGTAGACAGTGAAATGGACCAAAAGTTAGAAACCGATAACGATTCCATTGCAACGCACGGGCACTTTTGCTAGTGTACAACTATAACTTATTAAGAAAAAGTACTTCCGTAGCTTGAAAAAAATTGAAATGATGCATATATACGTAGTGCATCGATATTTGTACTCTGTTGCAAAAGTTAAGATTAAAACTATTTTTTGTAAGAATTTATGAAAAAATAACAAAAAAATCAGGTGCATGTGCACTACAAGACAAATTCCTACAAATTTCATCCTCTAGTGCACATGCACTCCAACTTTATCATTTGTGCATGAATTTTTGTAGATTGAATTTGAATCTCAACTTTTGCAGCAAAGTACATATACTACGGAAGTATGTTTTCTTTATTGAGTTTGTATGTTTGCACCTACATATTTCACCTCACTAATAGTATGCCCGTGCTAATGCTACGGTAAAAACTAAAAGACATTATTTTACTATGCATATGTCATTGTACATAATTATTTTCGGGGGCACATAACCGGGATACCTAGGATATGCCTAGACAGGGGCGGATCCAGGATAAGCTCCTCGGGGGGGGTAAATAATGAAGATTAGGGCTAGAGTTAAGAAAATAATGGTGATTTAGAGGCTAATGAACAGTATTTTACATGTGATTTAAGGCTCTTGAGGGGGGCTGCAACCCGGGCAGCCCCCTGGATCCACCCCTGCGCCTAGAAAGTCACTTAGGGCGGCCCAACCAGCCACGACCCAGCAAACTATGGCCCCACCTAGACCACTCTTCCCGCGGGCCGTACGAGGCCCACCTCGACCACTCTCGTCTCCCGACCATGCACCGCACAACCATCTCGACCACCTTCGGCCCTGATCTCTCGGGAAGGATGGGGGTGGGTGAGGCATTAAATGCACCTACCCGGACAGGACGCGCATGCCCACACACACTCCTCCGGGTACAAAGAAGGACGACCACCCCTCAGATCGCCGGGTCCCGGGGTAGAGCGTCACCCCTCGAGTCGCACCCTTCTGATGAACAAGACTACACCAGGGCTCGGCTGCGTCACAGCGCGTGGCTCAGCACCGCTCAAGCCCTACCTAAATCGACAGATGGGCGTACAATCATACCCACTATGGGTATGGGACTCAAGACCGAGAGTCAACTCCCACCAAACCAGCTAGATCCAAAGTCCCCTAACCCGACCACTGAAGGTCGGGGCAACGTTGCCACAACCAAGGTAGCAGGCAGCCAGCAAAGGACAGCCGCCCTCTCCGTATACTGGCGCCACGACGCCTCCCAGAGATAACGGGCGCCAGGACGACAACCACGACTCACTCCGGGCACCCACACCGCATAGGACAGTTGGTAAACAACTATGACCCACACGGTGCCGCCACGACATCCCATGACCGACACAGTGTCTCCATGACGTGCCATGCCTTGACGTGAGGAACAAGAACCCGACGACCATACCCGGACGTATCTACAGATGCTAGGACAAGACATGAAGGGACCACCAACCAAGTTCAATAGCTTCTCCCTCCCCTCAGGCTCTTGACCACTTAGGTCGGGAGAACCTTTCTCCTCTCAAGTTGTCGCCCGGCCCCCACGACTATATAAGGGGAGTCGAGCCTTCAATCATGACGACTGACTTCTCCTACCTCGAACCCTATCTCTCTGTAGAACCCTAGCTTACGAACCCCCCACCGTAAGCCTTTGGAGCACTTGAACAGAGGAACACGAACTCGCGTATCTCCACACCGGATGTAGGGCCTCGTCCCAAACCAATATAATTCCTTGTGTCTCTAGTGCCACCATCAACTCCCTTGAGCAGCGCGGCGCTAAATTTATCGGTCGGTTCACAAAACATTGACAATTATTATCTGTATTGTTATTTTCCTTGTATCTATGTTTCATGCTTGCAAAAATTCACGAGAAGAAATAAGAGAAAACATTCCCTCATGTAGCCACTCCTTTCTTCCCAAACCAGACCAGCACCTCCTCATCCCGTGGTTCCAGCCTGTCCCCATTCGCCGCCTGGGCTCGGCCCACTCCTCCCCCCCTTTAGGCATAGCTTTTCCTCCCACCCAGCCACCCGTGCAGCCCAGTTGGCTCCTCCAACCCGCACAGCCATGCAGCATCCCAAACCAAAAGGCCCGCAACAGCCACCCCACTCTCGCCCCTCTGCACTCCCACCTAGGCCACGGCACACACGCTCCTGTAGGCCCACCAAGGCCAAGTCACCGCCTCCCAAGGGGGAACCCTAGGGCGTGAGCGTCTCGCGCCCCCTAGGCTCCCAGCCATGGTAAAGGAATTTTTCTTAAACAAAATGTTTTCAGATAAATTAAAATATGAGTTGAATTCAGGCCCTGTTCGAATTCAACAAGACCATTCCACACAATTTTATATTTGATCTAAAATAAAACACTGACTCTATCTTCTCACATCTCTTCAAAGGAGACTTTACAATTATTTTATATGCATATGTGCCTTTGGTTTTATTTGAACTTTATTAGAGTTTATCCTCTCTCAAATCCTTCCTTATATAAAGAAAATGGAAAATCCTCCCATCCCTTGGGCCCTGAACCCCTCCTTCCTCCTTGGGCCAAGCCCCTTTCCGCTAGGCCAAACCGGCCACCTCCCCCTTCTCCTTCCTCAGGCCCACGCAACTCCCGTAGGCCTAGCTCCCTCTCCCTCTACCCGCAGCCCAGTCAAGCCTCTCTCCCCCGCCAGGCCCACTCGCAATTGGAGCCCAACAGCTTGCCACCTCTCCCTTCCCCACCTGGGCCGCGTCCTGCAAACCGCAGGCCCAGCTGGCCTAAGCACCGCTGTGCCCTTTGCCCAAACCATAGGCGTAGGCGCTCAGAAATCTTCCAGTCTGAATGGGCGGACCAGAGCCGTCCGCCGAACAACGCTCCCGCGAGATGTTTTCCCGCGCGCGCCAGCGATGAGTACGCTGCATGCTGCATCAGCCAGCACGGCCCACGTCATGGCCCACATGCCACAACGATGAGCCTGATTCCTGCTACGTGTTGTTTTCCCACGCGCGCCAAGCGATGAGTACGCCGCATACATCAGTCAGGATGGCCCACGTCGTGGCCCACATGCCACAACGATGAGGACTGATTGCTGCTACGTTGTTGTCTAGTTTTTTTTTCTTGTTTTGTTTCTTTTCCTTTTTCTTTTTTCTGTTGTATTTTTTCTTTTATTTATTTTTCTTATCTTTTTCATCTTCAATTTATTTTTCTTATCTTTTTCATCTTCAATTTATTTTTCTTTTCTTTTTGTTTATGTGATTTTTTATTATTTTATTTTTTATACTTTTTATCTTGCTTTTGTTTCTTTTATTTTTTCTATTTTATTTTTCTTTCTTTATTTTCTATTCTTTTTCTTTTGTGGCTTCAATTATTATTATTATTATTTCTATTTTAATTTTTGTTTTTATGTGAACTATTATTATTCCTTTTATATATATATTTTATCTTTCTTTTTATTTTTAACCTTTTAGTGTACTTAATTTTTTTTTATTTTTTACTTTAGTTTTTATGTTTATTCTTTTTTGTTTTTCATTCTTTTTCCTTTTATTTTTTGCCTTTATGTGACAAACCAGGGTTCTAGAGGTTCTCCATAGGGGGTTACTACTCGGATGGGCCCAGGGCTGGCCCACGATCTGCTGAAGGACGCGAAACAAGGTGGTGTGGACTTTAGGCTATCAAGATCAACTTAGTCGGTTTACTAAGAAAGCTAGTAGGACTTTTCTATTGTAACCGACTAGGACTAGATACGTACTTTTACCCTCTCTCCTATATAAAGAGAGGTACAGTGCACCCCCT